ACAACAGGAGAAGATCAAAGTTAATTTCACTTCTGATAATGGTGAAGACTATAATGAAGTCTTCTCATTACATGAGCTACATACCGCCCTTGGGCAAGCTCATGACACAGCAACGGGAGCTGATAACATTCATTACCAGCTTTTAAAACATTTACCAGATTCTTGTCTGGAGACACTTTTAGACATATTTGATCAAATATGGACATCAGGGAATTTTCCTACTTCATGGCATAATGCCATTGTAGTCCCAATACCGAAGCCTGGCCGGGATCATACAGATCCCTCTAACTATCGACCTATATCCTTAACAAGCTGCGTATGTAAAACCATGGAACGAATGGTTAATAATAGATTAATTTGGTATCTGGAAACCAATAATCTAATTACAAATATCCAATGTGGTTTCCGAAAAAATAGAAGTACTATCGACCATTTAGTACGATTAGAATCCTTTGTGAAAAATGCTATTGTAAACAAACAACACGTAGTATCAATTTTCTTTGATCTTGAGAAAGCCTACGATACTACTTGGAAGCATGGCATTTTAAAGGATTTACATGATTTTGGTTTGAGAGGCCGTTTGCCTCATTTTATATCACAATTTTTAACAGACAGACAATTTCAAGTCCGAGTGGGTTCCACCCTGTCTGACCATTATAATCAGGATCAGGGTGTCCCACAAGGCAGTATATTGTCTGTCACCTTGTTTAGTATTAAAATTAATAGTCTGTCCAAGGTTTTAAGTAATTCAGTGGATGGATCACTGTTCGTGGATGATTTTAATGCATCTTGTTGTGGTAAAAATATGCATACCATAGAGAGGCAGTTACAAATCTGTCTCAATAAAATTCATAAATGGTCTCTCGAAAACGGGTTCAAATTTTCTATGTCTAAAACTAACTGTATACACTTCTGCAGAAAATATAAGCCGCATAAAGACCCTGAATTATTTTTGAATGGCACCCCTATCAAAGTTGTTAAAGAGGCCAAATTCTTGGGACTCATCTTTGATAGCCATTTAACTTTCTTACCACACATTAAATCTCTTAAAGCTAAATGCCTGAAAGCACTCGATTTGTTGAAAGTTGTTTCTAATTCCAAGTGGGGAGGGGATCAGACTACCCTCCTACACTTATACAGGTCACTGATCCGTTCCAAACTTGATTATGGCTCCATCGTCTACGGTGGAGCCTGTAAAAGTAATTTAAAAAAACTTGATACTATCCATCACCAGGGACTGAGGCTTTGCCTTGGAGCCTTTCGCACTTCTCCTATTCCGAGTCTGTCTGTTGAGGCGGATGAGCCTTCTCTTAAACAACGCCGTCTGAAACTATCTTTACAATACATCACTAAATTATATTCGAATCAGTCAAATCCAGCCTTTAATTGCGTATTTAATCCTTTGTACGAAGATATTTACAATAAGAAAACATCTCTTGTTCCACCCCTAGGAATAAGAATTAAATCAGTCATTTCTGCTGCGAACATTAACTTTCAGGATATAGCTCCGACAAAACTTTTTTCATCGCCTCCTTGGCAGATGGTAAGACCAACTGTAGACCTCACATTAACAAAACTTAAGAAATCTGATACAAATCCACTTATTTATAAACAAGAATACAATCAATTACGAAACACTTATGACACATATAAATCTATATTTACAGATGGATCCAAGGATGGTGGCGCAGTTGCTAGTGCCACCGTCATTGGATCCAGAACAGTATCTTCACGTTTACCCGATAATAGTTCCATATTCACTGCAGAAGCGCACGCAATTTTAACAGCACTACAATATATCAAGAAGAAATCAAAATATAAAGACTTCATTATATTTTCAGATTCACTTTCGTGCCTTCAGGCTATTAAAAATATGTCATCTAAACATCCATTTTTAATTGAAATTCTTGAGTTATTTAATGATCTTGCGACTGGCCAATATGACATCGTTTTTTGTTGGTTACCAAGCCATGTTGGGATTGTTGGTAATACAATGGCTGATGCTGCCGCAAAAGCAGCACTCAACAAATCTGTGACACCACTTCTTTTACCATACAGTGATTATAAACCTGTCATTAGATCTTACATCAGAGATCTAATGCAGAAGAAGTGGGACACCCAAGTGGGTATAAATAAATTACATGCAATAAAAGCGAATATCGGTTATACCTACTTGGGTTGTCAGTCCAGATTGCAAGAGGTCATTTTAAGACGATGTCGTATTGGCCATTCACGTTATACTCATGAATATATTTTAAAAGGTGAAGATCCTCCATTCTGCGTCCCTTGTGATGAAAGAATCACGGTCAAGCATGTCCTGCTTGACTGCATTGATTTTTCCATCACAAGGGATAAATATTTCAAGGTATCAGGTATCAAGGATCTTTTTTATCAGGTAAGTAGTCATTTAATTATTGGTTATTTAAAGGAAATCGAATTACTGCATAAATTTTGATTGTTATAGTTTGTAATTAAATAAATAACTTTTATAATTGGTAGAATTATTCAGTAACTGGGATTGTTAGTGGCTATATCCTCGAAGGGGGTTAAAGTAGTGTAAAATAATTGTCCCCCGGAGAGGGTATGTAGGACCACGTCTTTCAAAGTATGTTTATTTCTGCTCGTTTTTAGACGTAGTATATATGTTCATTTATTCTGGCTAGATTTGTCATTAATCGCCAACAGCGGAAGGGATGATGTAAATCCGGCTGGGGTCCATGCAGGTAGCAAAAGTACTGTAAGTCCCCATGGACCCTAGCATGGTGATCTACCTTCAGCTGCTGGCGATCTATAGCCCTTTTTTATATTGTACCGTTATATATAGTGATATCTTTTATAGTTGTATGCTAGTTTTAAATATTAATCTGTGATATTCTAGTAATTTTACTGTCCATCGTTGACAGCTTTTTATGTTGTATACATTTATGTATTATTAATGTACTTCTCGTCACGATATGGCTGAAATACTGCCGATGTGACGTTAAATCATAACTCACTCACTCACTCACTCATCAAACTTTGCATTTATATCACTTAAGTGGTGAAGTTGTGCCTTTTGCTATTTTTGAATTTTTCCATTTTTTCTATTTTCCAATTTTTATGAAAGCATGCTGGACATAGGCCAACTTTGTGAGTGATGTTTGTTTCCGGAGCAGAACTCCGAAACTGTTAAAAATTTCTTCATCAAACTTTGCATTTATATCACTCAAGTGGTGAAGTTGTGCCTTTTGCTATTTAGGAATTTTATAAATTTTTATTGTTTACGTTTACATGGCAAAAGTTGGACTTAGGTTCTATAAGGGTGGTGTTCGTTTCCGGAACGTAACTCAATAACCGTTAAATACTTTCTTACAAAACTTTGCATGCCTACCAGGCACATACTGAACTGGTGCCTTGTGCTATTTAGGAATTTTAATTTATTTATTTTTTTACGTTTCCATGGCAACAAGTTGGATTTAGGTTCTATTGGGTAGAGTTCGTTTCCGGAGCATAACTCAAAACCCATTCAAAACTTTGCATTTATATCAGACTCATGCTGAACTGGTGCCTTTTGCTATTTAGGAATTTTAGACATTTTTATTTTTTACGTTTACATGGCAACAAGTTGGACTTAGGTTCTATAAGAGTGGTGTTCGTTTACGGAGCATAACTCAAAACCCATTCAAAACTTTGCATTTATATCAGACTCATGCTGAACTGGTGCCTTTTGCGATTTAGTAATTTTAGACATTTTTATTTTTTACGTTTACATGGCAACAAGTTGGACTTAGGTTCTATAAGAGTGGTGTTCGTTTCCGGAGCGTAACTCAAAAACTGTTAAATACTTTCTTACGAAACTTTGCATGCCTACCAGGCACATACTGAACTGGTGCCTTTTGCTATTTAGGTATTTTATATTTTTTTTTTTTTTAAGGTTCCATGGCAACAAGTTGGATTTTAGTTTCAATATAGGGTGGGTTCACTTATGGAGTATAACAAATAAAATGTTCAATATTTCCTTGCCAAACATTGCATGTCTATATAAAAAGCACATACTGAACTGGTGCCACTTAATATTAAGGAGTTTTAGAAATGTTTATTTTAGAATTTCCATTGCAGCCAAAATAATGTCTGTGACATGAATACACAATGTCATTTAGAAAGCGGTCAAATGTAACAAATGCTATATTTGGGATAACACTTTCTTAGTAAAGTACAGATTCTCGTACTTTTTGGGGGTAGAGTCCCGTCCGGGATTCGAACCCACACTTGCCAGAGTGAGGCACCTGTGCTGGCGTGCAAATTAGTGGTCAATCGGTGAACTGTGAGGTAACCATAATGAAAGGAACCAGATACAACACTCCTACTCCCCACCAACCATGGAGTGTCAACAAAGACGGTGTTGTAGTGGAAGCCGTCTTCAAACAGTAGGGCTTTATGCATGCTACAACTCAAGCAAAAAAGACACAATAGCTATTTTTTTCACAAAGGGTAAAAGTCAGGCTGGTTCCGCCCTAGACAGTTACCTGAAGTCAAATAGGCCAGTAATGGCAGATTGGACTGTGAGCCACTGCTTTCTGGCATTAGACTCTAAGCAAAATCATTGTAATTATATTGTTTTGAAATTTAAGTTGTCCATGCATGTCCAGCGGATTGATAGAATCGAGCCAATTCTACCACCTTTCTAGGTGAATTTAGGGTCACAGTGGTTGGGGTGGGGGGTGGGAGGGGACGTTGTTCCTACCCTCAACCACCAGAGTATCTTCCCCCACTGACACTCCCACGGCAAACGGTTTGTCCAATTAGTCGGCTTATACGACTAGCAATGCGGTGCTGGGTACACATTCTACCCTGGATCCTCAAGTGGAAATTTATTGTGAACCTCCAATAGGTGTGGAGTGCCCCGTACCTTCTCAAATGTCTCTTTTTGTTTTGTGGGAATCGGCTTGAACAGTCTATTTCTGTGATTTGATGTTGGTAGCAGAAAATATGAACAAATATAAAGCCGCTGTACGCATGTAGCCTGGGTTTGTGCGAAATACCACTTCTATGTACAGAAGTGTCAGTGAATGTTTTGAGTTCCATGGGAAACGTGCTGCTCAGGTGACCACCCGATCCGTCGAATTTCTGAAATTAAAATGTTTCAATTTGTAGAAAAAAGTGTCTGGGTTTTGTTGTTGTTGCATTAAGTGTTTAAGAGGTCGCCTTCTGCCTAGGCAATTTCGACTGACCTGGGTTTTTCCCGATCGGTCGAATATATGTTACACATCAACCATGACTACTCACTGGGCCGATATATACACTGATGGATCCAAGAATCCTATCTAACAACAGTGCTGGTTACGGGATCCATATCCACAGCTCCAAACCCCAAGCACATTCAGTTCGCTTGCTTAATGGTCAGTCAGTATTCACGGCTGAATTGGAGGCAATTCATCATGCACTCAACTCATACCGGAACTTCCGGAAGCAAAGGCAGTCGTCCTATCAGACTCGCTAAGTGCACTTCAGGCCATCAGTGGAAGAAACTCAAACTCCAGGCCAAACACAGTCAACAATATTCTATACGAATATACAAAACTATCGGACCAAGGGCAACAGGTGGAGCTTTGTTTGATCCCCTCTCACATAGATATTCGTGGAAATGAAAAAGCAGACTCACTGGCGAAGCTAGCTCTAGACAAAGCGGATATACAGCCTATTCCCTTTAGTAAACTAGAGATAAAAAGCAAAAGCAAAGCCTCCATAGCAGAATGATGGCAAGCCCAATGGGACGCAAGTAAGATCGGCAGATGGCTATACAAAATTCAACCCAAGGTCCATAAAAAGCCAAACTCATACTCAAATGAAAGGAAAATAGAAATTGCTATCTCACTCGGTCACAAAAAGCACTATGACAAGGTTTGTTCATCTTGCAAACAGACTGAAACCATTGATCACGTGTTACTAGAATGTCAAGACCATATGTCAAGATCTCCTAAAGCCAAGAGATGCAATAGCAAGGCAAAACTAACTCTATTTCTGAGAGATGGACAGCTACTCGAACGTATATAAACAGAGCAGCCAAGGATAAAAATGAAATCATATCAATATAAGAAAATAGAAATCATATCAATACAAAAGCAGAAATTATGTGAACACCAAACTCACAATAGATATGTGTACCCTACTCACACACAGGAGTCCCAAAGAGGGACAGGTCAGCCGAAATTGCCTAGGCAGAAGGCGACCTCTTAAACACTTAATGCAACAACAACAACATAACATTTTACTTATTTCAATTATGGCCAACGTTGCAGTTGAAGTCCGCTATCTTTCCAATGGTCGTGGCTCACTATTGCCACCCCAACATATTCAGCTTCATCACACTCGCCAAGAGAGAACAGTCAGTTACTGAGGTAAAGATTGCACAACTTGCAGGTCATCCCCGTGAACCACGACGCCGACGAAGGTACATTGAGGTCGACGAGCAGATTCGACGGGAAAAGGACAGACTGAGACGTGGTGAGAGAGTCCTCATGGACTATGTTGATCATGTGGCAAACCTTCTTAGCGTGTGGTGACATTTGTGAATGAAATTTGAGACTGAAACTATGATGTATTTATTGAACATGAATAACGAGTGTTTTAATTGATAAAGATCATTGATGAACGAAGATCACTTGATAAATATTTATGTTTGTGTATGGATGTTAACATGACTATTGTTAACGTTTTTATGAATAAAGATCATTGATGAATGGAGATTACTTGATAAATATTTATATTTGTGATTATTTATTATATTTGTGTATGTATGTTAACGTGGCTATTGTAAACGTTTTTATGAATAAAGATCATGAAAATTGTTAGTATCATCAAGATAAGCTAAATGTTTGATAATATATATATTGATTATTGATTATGCTGTTATTGCTGTATGTATGTGAAAATGTATTGTTATATCCTTGTTACAACAGAATATAGAATATGAAATAACCGAGTCCTCGTGTCAGGTCTCATATACTGTCCCTAACAGCGTCAAGTTCCCTATCACCCCCATGAGAAAAAATAATGGAATACTCTAACTGCAGACACGTTAAGTAAACACGAATATACTTTCCCGATCCGTAGAATTATTTTACCTACCTTAATTTCAGAATTTCGACGGATCGGGTGGACACCGCTGCTCATCACATGCCGAACGCACCAACCAGTGCCTACCAAGACATTAAATCCAAGCCCATTAGAAACCTACTGTCCGCTGTTATTAAAAATCGGAAACGATCTCCTGCAACAGTTATGCTTTGTTTGAAAAAATAGGAGAGGCTTTTAGAAAGCTGATCATTTTACAGTCTACATGTTTGTTTGTTTTGCTATATTTGTTTTGTTATGAATTTCAGAGCAATGCAACGATACTATCACGATGTGACTGTCATTGAGAAGGACTCAAAGCACACGTTAATGATTCATGGATAGTCAAGCATGGCGACTCCATGACATTCTCAATAGTATTGAACCTTCTTACACTTACACTCATGGGGCACCTTTGGCAAGAACATCCATACAACCTCATGTATGGAACTAAATACCGTTAAACTGTTGGTGGTGAATCAGACGAAGGCTGTAATTTCCCGCAACAGGCTGGCAAGTTGGGATTGTCTTCTGTAATATCACATTGCTACGACGATGACACAAGCGATGAATGGATGATATGAAATGGTTGCAGACCAAACCTCCTCTACCCACAAAGAATTCCACCAGCGACATCTTCAGCGCAATCAAGGTGCTCGACCCTACTGCTTCCACAAAGCCTACGTCAGTCATGCCATGGTTACTGTGTTATTGTTATCCTATGTTGATTTATAGTTCTAGGAACTGTACACAAAAGACCGGTTAAGCTCTTAATCCCGTGTTTTGTGTGAAGTGTTCATGTTATTGGGGCAGTGAGGAGGCCTGGTGGTGAAAGTGTTCGCTTGTCATGCCAAAAGTCAGTATTCGAATACTGAATCCCCTGATATTGCTGGAATATTGCTAAAAGCCACTTCGTGTTATTGGTGAAAATATTGAAACGTTATTGTATTGTTGTTATTCATTGCAATGCGAGAAGAGTGATTAAGTGAGTTTGGTTTAGCACCTCTTTTAATAATATTCCAGTTATATCACCGCATGTCAGCTTATTGTGACCGGAAAGCCCGAAGTGATGCAGGTCTTCGACGTTTACCACTTCGACTCTCAGATTAAACCTATTATTTTATATGGTTCAGAGATGTGGGGGGTTCATAAATGGTTGTTTCTCGAACGTTTCCAAGCAAAGTTTTGTAAATTTGTTTTGGGTATCGGTTCCAAATCTACAAATGTTGCAGTGCTCGGAGAGTGTGGTCGATATGGTATTTATATTGATTCTTACACAAGATGTTTAAGATACTGGTTTAAGCTTCTTAATATGTCTCAAGAGAGATTTCCAAAACGGGTTTACGATATGTTAGTTAGGTTTGATGCCGCTGGTAGGAATACATGGGTTTCGGCGATTAAGCATATGTTATATTCTCATGGCTTCGGACATGTGTGGGAATTTCAAGGTGCTGGTGAACCTGAATATTTTATAAGTGAGTTTATACTGAGGGTTAAGGACTGTCATGCACAAACATGGTATTCTGAATTGTCTGGATGCTCGAAATTAGAACTGTATTCATTATTTAAGACATCATTATCACTTGAACCGTATCTATTAAATGTATTATCAAAAGAAAAGCGACGTATGCTTACCCTTTTACGTATTGGAGAACTGGGAATTATGCATAACACAGGAAGGAGGGATGGCATCGATAAGACACTCCGGTTTTGTCCATTGTGCAAGGTAAGGGCAGTTGAAAATGAAATTCATTTCATTCTTGTTTGCCCTATTTATGAAGATATTCGTTCAAAATATTTCCCATATTTAGACTTCATTACTGGTAATAATCGTAAAGACACACTGGTTAGAATGTTAAACTCTTCTGATGTAAACCGCCTTGAGAACTTAGCCAATTATGTTAAAAATGCTATCTGTCTTCGTTCTTCTTACCTGTAAATATTATTTCATGCAGCACTTGATGTGAAACTAATTTGTATACATATGTACGTGGGCCTGAGGCCTTATTACCGAATAAACTGATTGACTTTGGTGAAACCAACAAGCACGGGTATGGTGCTGACAATAATCGGGTCGAACCCGAATTTGAACCAACAATCATAGGTATCTGGTGTGGTCAAGGGACACAACTCTGCACAGCGAATTGCAGCGCCTTAGACAATGCGAGAAGAGTTCTCTTTGGAAAGATGCATGGTGGGAAGAAGGGCTTTCGATTCATCAGTGAGAGAAGATCTCACATTAATGTCAAACAATTAGGGCCTGCCTTATTTCTCCTGCCACTACCATGATTTAGGCGTATCAGGTATATGTCCTTCATACTAATGGTGTGTTGACTCAAGAGAAAGGAACTCGATGTCCCAGATTTCTATAACTGTGGTCAGTTGTGGCTGTGCTTCTACCAAGTCCAGACTAACGCCGATTTATAGTTCTTGCCCATTGGGATACCATGCCGCAGTTTAACATGAATACCCCATGCAGACACAGTGTAGCTGCCATATTGCTGAATGCGGCGTTAAACAACAAACCAACCACCCGTATACCGACTCCGGGCCGACCAGTCCTTGTTTTTGCCACGTGATGGCGTAACAACAAATACCATATGTTAACGTCTTTTGTTATGACGCAGAAGGGGATAGATAATTTGACGAAACACTTTTACTGTAATACATGTAGACAGTGCAACATGAATTAATGTTGTTTTTCCTCGTTCAAAGACAAACATTTCCCCAATTAAAACTTTTTGCACAAGCTTCTTATTAATGTTTTGAAAGACTGCGATTAGTGTTGGTTGCAATAATCATTAACTTCAAAGTGTCAGAAAAAAGTGAGGATGACTAATCTGAATTCTCAAGAAACATTTATTTTAAATCAAATGAAGACCTTCCAGACACAAAAACCTAATACAGTCATGCCCCGCTTATACGGACTTGAGATATCCGGAAACCTCGGTTCCCGGACGATTTTCATTCAAAACGAAATAATTACTATATAAATTTACCCGTATATACGGAAA